AGGCATCTCATGTCCAGTGAGGGTGCGATGAAGGGTGATGAGGGTTTCATTTCAGTCATTCTTTTTTTTTCAACAATAATTTCTACTCATGTTTTATTGCTATAGCTAAGAACGCCTGAAGGGACACAATGAATTTAGTCTACCTCATGAGCTTTGGTAGTTTCCGTATAGTGGAATTTCCCAACATTCAAGCATGGAAATTAGGTGAGGACTTCTTATATGGATGTCCGTATTGACCTTAATGGAGAATTTCCAAGAATGAAATTTCATTTTACGGACTATACGGACATCCGTAATGAAAGTACCTCTCAATTTCCGAACCTTAGAAATTGGGAAATTCTGTATGACAAATATGATGGTCTAGGCCAGTGCCATCTTGTGTAATTAATGGGCCGACAGTGAATTTCCCGGGAAACGCTATAACGCATCAAATCGATCGTTAATCCTATTACTCGTGTAAGACTTATCCACTTGTCATGAACTTGTGGTACATAGCATTATTCCATCAATATCTTGATCGGTTGTACCTTTTCTTACTTGCAGTGAAGTTTTCTCCCAGTCATTTGTATGTTTTTCCACTCAATGGTTTAGCATTTACTACCTGTATCAGTTATGACAACCAAACTGATCATGCTAGCCCATCAGATCCAGAAAACCATGTGAAAAGTGCTGAATGCCTAGTTAAGGGGTAGCTATGGGGAACCTGGATGTGATCTGGGTGAAATTTCATTCGTGTGATAGAAAAGAAGGCCAAACATTTCATGTTACTTCTGTAGGAATAATCACACGTAGATAGAGCGCTGTTGGGCGAGGACAAGGATGTATTTCACTCAGACCACCCATCTGGTAGTTATTGGTCTACACGATAACTCCAGTAAGGCTAATTTGATTGTGATGAAATTTTCAATGGCGTACTGTTACATTAGAGTCTCGCTGAAATTCAAGGATAATACTGATTGAACCGCTGATTCCTTTCGAGTGAAGGTACTTTACCAATGAATGATTTGATGGAACATTCGATAGATCGTTGAAAGCTCTTCCGATTGCTTTGTCTCACACGCGAAACCTACATGTTGTGCATAGTAGTAAAGTTGTCGTATGTATTGTTATACGTGGTAGGACTGACTATCTCGCAGCAAATTTCGACTACGAATAGCAGTAAAATCCATGTTATTTCTTGAGCAAATAATGATAGTAATTTAATAATTGAAAAATATCAAGATTGACGAACACAGAACCAGAATTTTAATAGGACACTAAATCCGTGTGGCGACCAGAATATGTAAATCTCAGCCAGGAAATGTACATATGAGAACCTTTTTGTCAATGGCACATATTTCAGCCGCTATCAGATCGGATCGAATGATGGTGTATGTGTTTTTATTCCATCAAGTAATTAGCTCTAACGATCAGCTTAAAGAAAAATAAATCATCTGGAAAGATCTTTCTGCTAAAAGATTAAAAGTAATTATGACAATTTATTTCATTCTCTATTCTTAAAGCTTATTGAATCAAACCATACGATTTAAAACTTTTGTGAGGTGTCTGTATATTAATTACAATATTTCTTTAAAAGAATATAACAAAATAAATATTGTTCCCTTTTCTGAAAGAAAGGGTTATAGCGTCATAAATCAGGCCACTAAAATGCAATAAGTTTGTTTGTTTGTTTGCATAATCCAATCAGATTGCAGCATTTCATAAATCAATGAAAACTTAACCAACGTCATTAGAAAATGACTGATGACANATAATATCCTGACGCTCTCGGAATCAGTCATAAAACTTATAAGTTACAGATAGATTTTTGTACATTTTTCGCATTAAAATCTTTTTTATTCATTGTAATCTCGTCGTTTTTCATTGATGTCAGTTGGCTAGACAATCTGGGTGTACAATTCAACTAGTTCGAGACCGATGCTATTAACTTTTTCAGTCACATCGCACTAACTGTAGTACGCTTTTATCAAGTTCCATATTTCCTAAATAAGATGTGAATGCAAGAAGATATTGGAGTTGCGTTTCTTCTAAAAATAGCAAAAACTCGTATAAATACATTTATGTAGGAATTGAAATGTTAATGAGTTCGTTTTAGACAGTATATCAGACGCTTTTTTGGGATACCCTCATCTCATTAGGCTAAACCAGACAATTTTGGAACTGTCGAAATATTGTATAAATTTTATGACTTTCTACATTGTTATCGACTAAAAAGCAACCTCTCAAGGTATCATCGCAGTTACTTTTACGCTAGTTTTTTTACCAAATTATGACTTATTCCTGTATCCGTCTACGGACATGAAACCTCAACCTTGCAGGGGGATACTGGGGTACTATAAAAATGACTTAAAAACTTATTTCGGAGTTTATAGTTAAAATGACAAGATTAAGCCTTACTTATATTAAATCCAAAAGCGCGAATATTTCCCTTCATCTTCTGAGTAGTGAGACTGAAATGATTAAGTGCCCAAATAGCAACTCCATGTACCACTTGACTAGTGACATCATTTTGTTAGTCTCACTACAGTACAGTGCTACGCTTCTCGATCTTGAGAATTTTATCATAAATAGTACGACTAAGGGTCACTACTATGCAGCAATTTTAAAACTGTTCTATATGATCGATACGTCAATAATGTAATATGATTCATTGGTCACGTTACACGCAGCTTGTACTTTGAACATGAGCCATTCTTGCGAAATGATATAACAGATTTCAACCAATATCAGTCTCACTAAATACATAAAGGTAGTACCAAACATTTATCGATAACTCCAGAATAATACCTCGGAGCGCGTCAGGAACCTCCTTATACAAAGTTTCTGTAATAAACGGCAATTTTTGTTGCACCCTACTGTATTCCATCCTCTATTCTTAAAGTTTATTGGATCAAACCATACGATTTAAAACTTTTGTGAGGCGCCTGTATATTAATTACAATCTTTTTTTAAAAAGAATATAACAAAATAAATATTGTAATGATACTATGTCTCTAAAGTCACACCTAACTTTGATTTGGACAAATAGAAAATGCAGAAAAATCACGTTTCTCATTTTTGAATGATATATGTTTTAAGACAAACTATAGCAGAAAGAAAATGTTATTGCTTACAATTAAACTTTCCTTCGCTTTTTAATAAGTTGAAAATCTAATTTACGTTTATAACACTAAAGATAGAAAGTCAGTAGAGTTTTTTTTGTGTACTCAAAAAGTGAGTACACTATAGAATCGGTCAGTATGTCCGGCCGTCCGTCCGGCCGTTAATCCGATAACTCCTGAAAGAATAATCCAATTTTCATGAAATTTGATACATAGCATTATCTGGTAAAGGCGTCGGTGGAGTTCGAAGATTAACAGGTTCGGCTGTATCGTGGGTGAG